ACACACACACACACACACACACACGCACGCACGCACGCACGCACACGCACACACACACACACACACACGCACGCACGCGCGCACGCACGCACGCACGCACGCACACCCACGCACACGCACGCACGCACGCACACACACACACGCACGCACGCACGCACGCACGCACGCACGCACACACACACACACACACACACTGAATCGTCGATCCCCCGGAAAATATGGGAAAATATGGGGAGGGGGGGGGCGAAAAAATCCAAAAAGTATGGAAACATATGGGGGATCCTTTTATTTGTGTGTATCTATTTGTGTGTCCCAGGGCCCCTTGATACACCGCTGTTAGTCCCAGACACCAGGAGGTGTTCACCATGCGTTTCCTCCTGGCACCTCGCGCCGCGTGGTGCAAGTTGTCGTGTCTGGCCAGAAACCTCAGCGACAACGTGCGGTATCGCACACTTCGGGCGCGCCGGCCAAACACTGGAAGCAATCATCAAATCACCATGCGGCGGTCTGATGCGAATGGCCAATAGGTGCCACGACATCACCCCCCCGCACGCGGGAGGAAGGGGGAGGGTGGAGGGGGTGGAATGGAAGGGGAGGGGGGAGTGGAGGAGGGGAGGGGGGAGGGCTGTAGGGAGGAGGAGAGGAAGGAGGGAAGCGAAAAGGATGATCGGGGCAGGGGCAGCGGAGGAGGGGGGAGAAGGGCAACCTAGGTGAGCTCGCGCCATACCCAGCATTCTACCCCTCCCGCCCAACGCTTCCCATTGCGCAGACTTTCCTTTATCCGCAGACGCATGTCATAGCGGACCTGGAAATCGCAAGACGACCCCATCGTGTTGTGCGCAGTCGGGCAAAAATTGATCTGCTTACATTGGACGACGAGGTGGCGGATGAACGCGAAGGTGAGCAGAGTGATGAGCACGAGGAAAAGGAGGATGAGGAAGGAGGAGGACGACGAGGACGAACAGCAGCAGCAAAGCTGGAGTCGAAGGACCGGGACGAAAAAGGAGGAACAGGGGAACGCGGACGAGGGGGAATGAGGGGGGCGATAACGGTGAACAAGGATTCGGATCCAGAAAAGTGACCCGCTCTTGGGCGAGAGCGCCATTCTGAACGACGGGAGCAACGCGCCGATACGAACATGAAGCCCGCGCTGCAGCGGGAACGCAGTTTTGAAACTCCGACAGCAGGCGGAGTGCAACAAACGGTTGACATCTGGTAAGAGTCACGAAGCGGAGAGTACAAGAGTCAGGGGAGAGAGGGGGGGCGGAAAGAGCTATGCCCCCCCCCTCCTTTCTTTCTGGCAGCAGCAGGGGAGCCCTGTCCTCCCCATACTCCCCCTTCCCTCTCGAGGGTGGGCGGGGACGGGGGGGAGGGATCCACCGATGGAAGTAAGGCAGGCTCGTGCCGTGTCGACGCGGCGGCGACCCCAGCGCGGGGGTTCAAGGTTGAATGCTGCCAGTGGCCCGGGAGTGGCCGAAATTGAACGATCCAGCGCGATCGGAAAGCCGCGGTCGTTCAAGGTTGAACGATCCAGGCGGTGCCAGGATCTAATGCAAAGCTCGTCACGACACCAGCCCGCCGTAACGAGGGTACGTATCCGAGGTTCATGGTCTGCTCGAACTGGGCCGTCCTTGCGATCCTTACCTCGGTGGTGAGCGATAACATGATCACGTCTTCGAGAGACATCGCGGAGAAGGAGCTGCGGCAGTGCAAGGAAGCCGAGGTCGAGCTGAGCAGGGAAAAGTTGGCTGAGCTTTTCGGGAAGATAGACGCTGACGGCAATGGGAGCATCGACGAGATCGAGTGGGAGAAAAGAGTGATGGGGGACGGCCAGATGGTCGACGCCTTGTGCGCTGCTGTTTCTTCGCTCGGGAGGGAGGAGCTGAAGGATGCCTTCAATGCTGTGCAGTCGGCGTCGCGCGGCGAGACGGCGGAGCAGACGCGGAGGCAGATCACTCTCGAAGACTTCGTGCAGTACCTAGTAAAAGATTGCCGAGTCAAAGCCGACAAGCGTTCAATCCTGAAGATCCGTCAGCAGCTGGTGAGCATGGAACACGGGAGCTCGGAGACCAGAAAGTTGCTAGACGGTATGTGCAGCCAACTTGCTGACTTGAACAGTAGTTTGCAGTCCTGCCATGCCGCCGAGACGAGTGTTGTTTAATCCGTGCATGTTAGTTGGATGTGGCATTTGCCTTCCCGCACGAGCAACCCGCAGTTTTCCGACATTCGGTGATGTTCGCCAAGAGAGCGGTTGGCAGACCGTCTCTGTTTTTTTTCGTTTGCTCTTTCTGCTACTGCTGCTGCTGCCTCCGACTAGCGGAAGGGTCACTGCCTGGTGGCGCAACACGACAGGTTCATATACTACAGTCGCTCTTCCGCCGAAGAGCAGACTTTCCAGCGCACGGTCTTACCCCACTTCTTCCTCCATCCTTTTCCCTCCTTCCCTGCTGCAGCCCCCCATCCCCATCCATAATCCCCCTCCCTCCTCCTCCTTCGCCTA